CAACAGTATCGCTGCAACAAGATACAATGTTTCAGGAACGGAGTTAAATGCACCGTTGAATGTTAGGTTTCAGTTTTACAGACTCTCCTCTTTCTATGCTTTTTCCAGACCAACTATTAATGGGCCGAACTAAAAGCCCAATAAAGATTGGATCTGATTACTAAAATCATTAATAATGGGCTTGATTTATCATCGCTGTGACCGCATTTGTTTTTCTTTGGAAACTCCGAGTGAGGAAAAGGGTTTTAGGGTTCAGAGAAAGATGGAGATGAATCGTCGGAGCTCGTCTGCCGGTATGGAGGTTCCGGTTGCAGGCGGCGGAAATGTCGTCAGATGGATCGAGTTATCTGTGCCTTCTCCGTCTTCTTCTTCAACCAACGGAACTAATTCAAGTGAAGACAATGATTGTGTTCTGCTTCCTTCTACTGAAGACTACGCTTCTAGCTGTGTAATCGAGGAGCCTCCGATTTCTTTCATTTGGAGAATCAACAAGAGAAGCCCTAATGTGATCGAGCTTTTCCAGCTCTCTGCTAAGTCTGGATTCCCAGTAACTGGGCTTCGTTTCGTCTTTGCTCATACTCTCTCTCCTTTTGCTTTTGTATTCGCCGACGAGGTAACATTTACTTGTCTTACTTCATTTTTGTTCTTTAGTGTATTGCCATTTTCGCGTTCTGTTGAAACGTGAAGCTACTGATTTGAATGAATGACAGGGTATTGATAGTGGTCGTGTCGTCGTCTTTCTTTATGCCCTCACGCCGTCTGGTGTTGTCTACGTCCTTAAACTCTCAAATACATCAGCCTATACGTCCGGCTCGGTCTTCCCGCTTGATCATTTGATCCATTTGGATGTTAGACCGTACTTGAACGAAGCTCGTGTTACCAGTGTAGCTGCATCACCTGGCTTCCTTTTATTAGGGAGATCTGATGGCTGTGTCTCTTGCTTCCAACCTGTGGTTTCTTCTCAGAAATCATCAGGTAGATTACTCTGCAACTAGCTTAATATCTCAATTCCATGTTTCTTCCATTGTCTTATCGTTTTGCCTTTTCGTTTGATTAGGTTTTCACCAGGAGCTGCGTGATAATACTGGATTCAGTCGTCTATGGGGATTTGTAAGGCATGTCTTGTAGTATAGTTATTAGAATAGTAAATGTAATCAAGCTGATTTACTTTATATAAAGAAACGAAGCTATGGTAATGCTATCTTTTCCAATATGCTGTTCGTTTTCCCCCTTTTGATGTTCATCTAAATAGCTTCTTATAAACATGCAATGTAGGGGGACAGTAGTTGCAGCTGTGCAAGATTTATGTATATCAGAAATTCATGGAAGAAATTTTGTATGCGTGCTTCATGCCGATGGAGCATTACGTGTCTGGGATATTTTGACTTATAGCAGGGTTTTATGTCAGAGTATAGCTGCTAAAGACATTGAGGGTAATATCTGCTAATTCTATCGGTGATCATTAATTGATTTTATTTTATTATCTGTTGCCTCTGTTTTAACTTTTTGAATGCTTTTTTTCACCAGGGGTTATGTGTCTGAGGTTATGGTTGGGCAAAGCTGATTATGATTCGGGCATCATTCCGTTGGCTGTCTTGTATAGAAAGAGTATTGTAAGCTTTTACAACCTGCATTTGAAATTCATTACAACTGATGGGTTGACTTGACTTGAGTGGGGCATATGTAGTTAATTTTGTTACTGCATTCTATCTCTAATACCCTTTTCCCAATATTTGAAGGATGTCAGCGTGGACGTGATCACTGTATATGACCTGCAGTTTAGTTCTGGGGAGGGCATAGCTTTGTCTCTGGATTCTGGATTACAGAATATTCCACTGGAAGGGGTACAATTTTTGGGCTCATTCTTGTGGCACATACTAATATTGTTTTTTTCTTTTGCTCATAACTGTGTTGAATTTACAACTCCTTGTTTTTCTTTTGCTCGCAACTTTGTTGAGTTTGCATTATATTAACTTTGGCAGGGGGGATTGCGGGATGTCAGATTTACATCTGATAAGATCTGGACTCTAAAGGCCGATGAATTGATGTCTTACATGTTGTGCCGGAAATCTAGCACCATGTAAGTTCGAGAAGAATTGTTTTCTGCTGAATTGGTTGAGATACTTTGTACTCCATGTAAAAATTGCATTATGCATGATGTATTAAGAGATGCTGAATATATGTGCACGTCATATTTTCTCTGGACCTTAACTACTTGTAACCTCTTCCCTGGTCATAGTTTCTGTGTTAAAACTTCCTTGTGATTGAGTATTTTTTTGAAAAAAGTGCAAAATTCTTGGTGAAGCCCTTCCCAGAGGTTGCATTTAGAGATGGGTTTTGTAGAATTTTAGTTGGGTAAGCTTGAAAGATTATTGGTTTCCAAACTCCAGAGGAATGTGCTGCTTTAGCATATCTTTATCGTAAGGGTTATGCTATTGACTGCAAGAGATATTCTAGTGTTCATTGCTTTGATTTTTGTTTATTAATGGTGTGTAATGCTCTATTTTAAATTGTTTTCCTTGTCCTAGGGAAGCACGGTCTTACACTTTGCAGGAAGAATACATTTCTGATCAGCTGTTTCTGAGTTCTAGGAGCTCTTCACATGACCTTCTTTTGACAACCCATTCACTGTTTTCATCTGCAAAGGTTATTATGCTAAATTATGTCTTTCATTTTGTTGAAATTTTTTTTTGTATACAATACATCCAATCTATTTCTCCTTTTTATGCATGTTATGCCGTAAAAAAATGTTTTATTTGTATGAGTCCATTTTAACCTGTATTGCACTTTGCAGGATCAGATTATGGGATTCATTTCATCGATCTTCTTACGCAGACTTCTTTGTCCTGGAATTTTTCACAATGTTGCCTTGCGTCTAACTTTACTGGACCACAACAAACACTGGACTGATTCTGAGTTTCAGTCTTTAAGTCTTGATGAGCTTAAAAGCGAGATTCTTTTACTGGTTGAACATGAGGTTTGTTTTTTTCTCAGTTTTTGAGTATCTTGCAGATAAATGTATATGATGCTTTCTTCTGTTAGTTGGCATAAGCTCTGAGTCTTAAAAGCTAAAATAGGCCTCTTCTATGCCAGGTTACTGCTGAAACTTCTATTTCAGTTTTTCACTGGTGGAAAAACTTTTGTACATGTTATCTCCATCATTGGCGCAACAATAATGAGCCTCGCACTTTGCTGGTTCAGTCAGATGTTATTGGTTTAGTTAGAAACAATTCTGTATCATTGTTTTTTAGATTGGAGAACGCTGAGCACAGCCTTGGAGGTATGTAAAGGATTTTGATTTTTCATTTAGAACCATAATTACTATGTGTGGTTTCCAATATTTTAAGACTTAATACTGTGTTTGTCTTTCGATAGGATCTTCCTCCGAACACAGCAACCTGACAAATTTAGGCTTGGGCATGTCTCACAATGAACATGAAATTCTGGCGGATATACTAAGGTGTACATTGAAGATCAGTAAACAGTGGGGTGGTGCTCCTTATGCCATGTATTATGAATCAATTACTGGAAAGCCAGTTATCCCATCTGATGAAATTGTTCCTGGCTTAGTTAACATCCTGGAATCTGGATATGCTATGGCTATAGGTCAACGTACTTGGTCGGATCTTGGTGCTGATAGAGCATGGGAAAAAGAGCTGGAAGCCCAAAAAAATCTTAGAACATTCTCCATTGACATGTTATTGTCTCTCTCTGCCTTATGTCAGAGGGCTGGATCTTGGGAAAAAGTTTTTACTATCATGGAGCAGTATTTGCAATATCTCGTCCCTAAGAAATTTATGCATAACAATGATGGTGAGGCATTATCTGATATCTGTAGTTCCATCCTCGTCCAGGCCACTTCTCAGTTTGTAAAGGTGATGTTTGAGTCTGCCTTTGACATCTTCCTACTGGTCAGCTATCTGCTTAACATCTCTGGGCAGGTTAGTTTCCACTCCTGTCGCATATTTTTTTCAAATTGCATTCCCTAAATGATGTCAGTTTTGTTTATATTCTGACACTAATGTCACATATGCTATTTTGCGACTTTCTATATATTTTAAAGTCAGTCATCCATTCTTTTTTCTTTGGCTTTAACTTTCTGCAGGTTAATATGTCCCAGCAAGACATATGCAAGCTACGGCTTGAGTTGCTTCCGATGATCCAAGATATTGTCTCAGAGTGGCTCATCATCCTTTTCGTTGTTACCAATCCGGCTGAGTCGACTTCGATGGAAGATTTCAGCTTTAAACTCTCATCTCTACAGATTGGTAGGTTGTTGTCGATGGAAAACTTTCCCCAAAGCTCATACCTCACGACCAATATTTCTCACTGTAAATAATCATTTCTTCATTGCAGATAGCAGCATTGACAAAAGATCATGGAACACAATGCTTGGGAAATGTGGTTTCTCGTTGGCGTTTATTCTTCTTTTTAGTGACAGAAATTGCATTGTGGACAGCCGATTTAACTTGAGATATCTTCCAAGTTCACAAATCATTACAAGTTTGGTGCAAAACTTTATTAGCTGGATTCGTTATAGTAAAACAGGAGAGGACTCTTCTTCACTGCTGAGACGCTCAACTGAGCTCACTCTTAGGTTGATTAGGAATGGACAATCTGATGCTGTTGAGGTAAACATTGTTTCTGTTTCTATGACGAACTCCCTCCAACAAAAAGTTTTATTTAGCTATAAGTACTTGAACTTAATTTCTGATTACTCTGTTTTGATTTTTTCATATATTTTTAATCACCTTC